AGTCGCCCCAGCAGCTGCGTTGTTGGAAGTAGTGTGTTCCGTCAGATCAAAGCTCGAAAACAATTTGTTATGATCATAGACATAATGGAAGATGTGTATTCCAAGAAGTGATCAAGTTAAAGGAGTAACGGAGAAAGTCGCCCCAGCAGCTGCGGATTGGAAGTGGTGTGTTCCGTCAGATCAAAGCTCGAAAACAATTTGTTATGATCATAGACATAATGGAAGATTGTGTATCCCAAGAAGTGATCAAGTTAAGGGAGTAACGGAGAAAGTCGCCCCAGCAGCTGCGGTGTTGGAAGTGGTGTGTTCGAAAACAATTTGTTATGGTCATAGGCATAATGGAAGATTGTGTATCCCAAGAAGTGATCAAGTTAAAAGAGTAACGGAGAAAGTCGCCCCAGCAGCTGCGTTGTTGGAAGTGGTGTGTTCCTTCAGATCAAAGTTCGAAAACAATTTGTTATGGTCAACTTAGCAAGTAAGTATGCAACAAGGTTCGGTACCTAATTGAGTTTCTAATTGGACTGTGGAACTCTTATAGTTAATTTTTGAAAAACATAAAGTTTTTCAAGAAATTTTTTTATCTTAAAATATAAAAAAATAAATTTCACAATATTGTGTGTTCCTTCATTCATATTTATAAAAGTTCAATTCCTTATTTCGATAGAATTGTGAACATATATCCTCCTTACCAAAAATTGAATTATTTTATATTTTATTTAAATTATTTTTAATATGGAATTCGAAAATAATAACAACTTCTGCCTTATTTCATTATTTCAATGTAAAACTAATAAATAACAAAAAAAGCTTTTTATGGTAAAACTGCACAATTTACTATCATTTTAAAATAAATAAATATGAATACAGGGACCGACTGGAGCATAGGCAGATGGACAGACGTGCGTACATCTGACGCCAGTATTTCATTTTTCCTTTGGTGAATTATGACAGCGGCAGAAAAGGCAATCCAAGCCCGGCTAAGCCCAAAACAATGTAAAACCAATAAAACCCATTTTCGCAGAGTTTTATGTGCGGAATGTCACATGTAATAAAATTCACACAAAAACGAAACAATTTCAGGGAACAACAAAACGCGACACAAAAACAACAGCAGGATATGCGGTGCACTTCCTGAATTTATCATTGTTGAAATATGCATTTTTGAAAATTTATTATAAGTAAGGAAATTTATCTGTTTTTAATAAGAAACACACATCGCACACCCAACACAATATGGCTGCGATTGTCTTTAATTGAATACAAAAATATAATTCGGAATTGGCTACACAGTGGCTGTGCCACTGCCATGATATCTAATCCCACATACTTGAATGTTTAAAATCAAACATCACAAGCAGAGCATGACAGCGGCAATGCAGAATTTTAATTACAATTAAATGTGACACCAATTGGATTGCAAACTAAAATCATGGCTATTTTACCACACTCACAGTAATGGCATCAATTTTCACTAGCAGTGGCAGAACCGATAATATGATATTGCCATAGCCGTTCTCAGTCTTCAATTTTTTACTTATATATTCTTATTATTTTATATCAGCTTCAGAGTCATCAAAGTCCGCATATACTAGGCAGTTCCGTTCAGCAGTCACGTAAAACGCAGGGAAGACTTGACGGGCCGAAGCTGTCCCGTAATGTATCGAAGGAGGAACTGTTGAATAAGAATATAGGTAAATATCCTTTATTTTGTAGTTATATATTCTAATTATTTTATATCAGCTTCAAACTCATCAAAGTCCGCATATACTAGGCAGTTCCGTTCAGCAGTCACGTAAAACGCAGGGAAGACTTGACGGGCCGAAGCTGTCCCGTAATGTATCGAAGGATTACATTTCTTCACATATACATTTTATAAGATAAAAATTATTGTTAAAATCCAAGAAATTATCTGTAAGTCTCTCCCGAGTTAAATTTCTGTCTACCGGCTGCCACTGGCGAAATATTATTTCAGGGCAATCGCGGGCCAATACAAATCACTGTGTACATTGGGAGTCTGCGGTCTCAAATACAAACGTTCATAGTTGTTTTCGACCGAAACAAGAATACGGTTTTAATGTTAAATTTAGTTTTATTAGTTTATCAATTTAAATTTTACCAGTACACCGAAGGCAAATTTGCGTGATTGTAGTAGATTAAAAACATATCGCGGGCCGCACAAACATTAGCCGTGCTATGGACAGCCCTGATATACATAATCAATTGCAGTGGTATCATCTTTATATGGTGAACTGTGATAAGAAAGACAAAACAAACTAATAATCGATCGGGTCATCATCGATTATTCCGTTAAAATTGTGAAGAACTTTGAGATGAGGCAAATTATCATTTTAGGCAATATGGTATATATGATTTGTAATCAATTGAAAAATTAAGTCCTCTCCAATAAATGAAAATTGTTTTTACGAATCGAGTCGCTCATTGTACCTGTTCTACAAAATGACGCAGATATATAAACAAAGAACACAAGGCCGTTTTCTGGGAAAAAATTCCATATAAAATCGTTGGTCCAATTCAATTTAATGGTAAATATAGTTTTCGATTGCAAGACAAGCTGTATGACCTCCATCAATCGAATTAAGATTTTGTAGTTTAAATGGTTAGTATATGTCTTGTGGAGTATAAAAGGAGTTTTCAGCTAAAAAATATTCAGATCTGTAAAATCAGGGGAATATTGTGAAAATGACAGTCCCCCGTTAGAGTAGAAAACTATATAGTTACCTATACACTTACCTATTGCAGTTTGATATTTTTGACTATTAGCGCGCTAGACATAGGGCGACTGACGGTAGATGTTGAACACAATTAGAATTATAACACATGGTTGTGTTGGTAATTAAGTAAGTCTATAATTAATCTTAAAATTGATCACTTTATTTCTTTACAGTATTTAAACGATGCAGTAAATTCTGCTAAAAAAAAGCTGCATAGTTTTCTAATGGATTATAAATATCATTTGTTTTAAGAGAGTACAGTTCTGAAATAGTGCGAGTATTTACAGTATTAAATAATATAAGCGCTCTGTCTTTGACTTAATATGTATATCTTGATTTCTGATATAGCATAGAGCTTTTAATATACGTCTAAAATCAATATGCTAATAAGTTTGAAATTTTCTATTGGTGGATAATGTACCCTTGCTATAAAACACATTATCACAAATAGTTTAGTTCTAATCATTTACTTATAAAAGAATAGTATTATTTTTACCCTCAACTTTCCTTATGTTAATAGTTTCAGAGCATGCAGAGTTGAATTATTAGCCTGTTTTTTGATCATTATTTTCTTTAGCTAAGTGTATTTTCTTTCAAGGAGGAGGATTCGAATACAAATGAAAAGACAACAACAAAAAGTTTAGTTAATTTATTGAAGCTTGACTGAGCATAAAACGCTCTTTTGAAGCAATATTCGAAATAGCGTTGCATTGTCAGCCATACGTACATCAATAAATTAACTAAAATTTTTGTTGTTGGCTTTTCATTTCTATTCGAAGTCTCCTAAACTCTTTTCAATTTTGGCATAATTAAAGAGTAAAAATAAAAGAGTTCCAATATGAAATTGTGAGTTGACTGGCGTATTGGTCCTTGTTAGAAAGAGGTGTCAGCTCTCCATTTGTTATATAACTGTCTGCGTAACATTGCCCTTAGAGAATATATAAAATTTTAATACTTCAAAATAAATTTTTAAAAGTTAATTGAGTGTTTTATTCTGAGTAGACTTGAAGAATATCTAACACGAGTATTTTACCAGATTTTTCGTACTAATCGTATTATATTTAATTTCATAAATAAAACAACACTACGATTTCTGTTTTTTTTATATTTTTTTTTTGTTTTTTTTTTTAATAATTATTGTTTAAAATTAGTTTAATATATATTTTAAAAAATTAATATCCTTATTTCTAACTAACAATCCATTAACTATGTTCCTTACTTGATTTTCAATTGTTCTGTTTTTTGCTTGCTTCAAAGTATGGGTTTTCGTTTTCTTCGATTTCATATAATCCCAAGTTGAAGTCATTCTAGTAAATGCAGAAGTTTATGAAGTTCGTTTCGCTGTTGGGATTTTATTTCATTACACATTCAATTAAGTTAAGATTAATTTTCATTTAAGTTTAAGTTTAGTTAAATTCATTTAAATTATGCTAATAGTTTTGTTCTTGTTTGCTCTTTTAAATATTTATTTATATATATTTATTTTCACTATTATTTAACTATTTATTTATTTTGTATTTTATTAAATGTTAAACATTTATATAATATTTGAAAGTACATATATATTGTTTAGTAATACTTAAGAAGTTTTCATTTTCTGTTTTCTATGTTTTCTATGTTTTTTTTTCAATATTAATTATTATTCTTTTACTTACTATATACAAGAATACTTTACAGTTTTGCGTGTAATTATGACTTATGCAGCTTTTAGGCTTTTGTATCTTTTTCTTTTATACTGCAGGGAGTTCTCTGCAATATCTGTTTTGCATTAACGTCAAATCCAACGCATTTGCCAAAAAAAGTTACTTATTTACTTAACAAAACAAAAAAAATCGAAATGTCAAATAGTAAGAATGCATTAAAATGCATTAAAATAAGTTACAAAATACATTAAATTAAGAAAATAATGTAATGAAAAACAAAATGAAGAAAATGATGAAAATGGAGAAAATGGAGAAAAAAGTCGCCATGTGTTTATGAATTTTGCTTGGTCAGTGTCCTTTAAACTTTACTTTCGCATGTTTTTGTAACGCCGCGCCGCCATTTTTGTTGAAAAACACGGAATTCCTTATTCCTTATCTTATGTTTACTCTGCTGTTGCCGCCTTTTGGCCGACATTTTATTATTATGGCCTTAATTGCCCTGACAGACTTATAAACTCGTACAACTTTGTTGTACTTTTACATTTTTAATTTTTTCTTATATATTATATATTATATATTTGTTTTTATTTTTGTTATCTCTTACATATATAAACTTTTTATATATAAATTTTTAAATTTAGCTTATACAATAAATCTTTAGAAAATTAAAAGAAAAATGAAACTTTCATGTCGGCATAGTTGCATCATTTTAGGTTGAGTACAATTTTCCTTGCATTACATTTAAATATAATTTCCTTTTATGTTTTCTGTTTTCTGTTTTCTGTTTTTTTTTCATAAATTTTTTTTTTAATATTGTTTTTGTTTAATATTGTTTTTACATTGCATTTACTTGCAACTTTCTTTATTACTTCTGCAATTCATTATTTATATTTTTTGTATTTTCAAGTTTTTGTGGATTTTGTAGATTTTGTGTTTTCAACTGCGAACGTTTTTGGTGCCTGGCTCAATACACGCGTACGTTACACTTTAGCCTACTTTTATAAAACGACATTTTCATCCTCATCGTTGGCGGTTTTTTCCTGCGATTTTCCTTTATCCTGCACGTACATAGCAGCCAAAGCGGTAAAACGCGGCCCCCATCCTTCCAAGTAGTTGAAGTCTTGATTCTCGTCATCGGTGCCTGCACAAGAAACACAAAAAGTAAGTCACAATAAATAGACAAAGTATTTGGAACTCTTAAGACAATAAAGTAAATATGTTAAATAAATACATTGAAAAAAAAAAGAAAACTAAAAAAATTCAATGCATCCAATCCAGAAGTGTTGCACCGCAAAGTGCACAAATCCACAAGTGTCGCAATGCAAACAATACTACAAAACCTCTTTTCATAGATATTATGAGATTTCATCAAGAACACTGAAAATAATTACCTACATCCAAGAGACTTTATATCCAAACCAGCGCATCGAACCGGAATTTTTTCTGTTTCGGTTTTCGTTTCGGTACAAGACAAAGAAAATATATCGGTTCGGATCCGATTTTCGTTCCCGCAAAAATACCGGTTATTTTTCGATTTTTGGCTCGGTTCCGGTTCAATGCCCTGCTCAAAATCTTTTTACGTTGATTTATTTTATAAAAGGCAAATAGTGAAAATAATTACATGCAGTCAATAGACTTTAAATCAGGGTTTAAAACCTCTTCAAAACCTCTTTACACAGAATAATCTAAACTCCTTCAAGCATATTCTATTGAAATGATTTATAAACGTAAATACGGAGAATAAGTACTGGCATTCGATATAGTTTAAATCAGAGCCAGTTTGATAGTTTGATAGCCAGTGCTAGTAATGATAAAAAAATCATGAAAAGTGTTTCAGTAATATTTAGAGTAACAGGGCAATTCCTTTTTTAGTTCACCACACTTAAAGTTTTGCAAAAGATCGTTTCAAAGATCCGTCTTTCAAAAGATCATATGAAAGTTCTGCCTTTCGATTGTCAACTAAGATATTGTTTGTGTGTTTGTGTATAAACGTTTTTTTATATAATATTAAATACATAAAAATTAAAAAAAAATTAATAATTAATTATTTAACTAAAATTTATAAAAATGTGTGTGTGTGGAATAACCAGCTCTCTCGTAGCATTATCCCAAACTTTTCGGTATGCTCGTGCAGAATTGTAGAGGTTCGACAGTCTATGATCATTTGTCATTATATGTGAATGTGACTTCATATATGTTACATGTATCCAAATATCACTGAATTGTAACTGAAGCCAAAAAGACCTGAGAGGCTCGAGTGCAGTCTTCTGTTAAAATTTCAATATAATCTAAAAAAGCTTCTGTACCGGTTGTTAATTTCATCTATAAATGAAATACTGCACTCGAGAAAAAGAATTGTGGTTTGAGCTTTAATAAAGATATTGGTCCTTCATTATTTTAGTTATGAAGTTCATATTTGTTTTTATCTTTCAGTTACATATACTTATATTTTTATATACGTTATAAGTATTATACGGCTTGAGCCGGTACCCTGAACCCATTGGACCATTTAAATAGTGATATATGTATCAAAAGAAGCTAAAATATGTGACTCCATTAGACGACTTATATGGTGATATACGTATTAAGAGAAACAAAGCGAAAAAATAATTTTCTTTCACCGAGACAACCACAGTAATTGAACCAGTAAATCTGGCCAATTTCCTTAATGAAATGCTATTGTGTCCACCGCATTTACTAGACTTAGTTCTATCTGATACTTCGTTATTTACAAACAAATGGTTTGCAAATTAAATTTTCTTTGTTGAGAAGACATTTTAATCGATTTTCAAAAAAGTCTCTAAAGAATATTACAAAAACTTTTAAAGAATCCTATTTATAGCAAGTTTTAAAAAAACTAAGTGATTTTATTAAGTGACTTACTCTAACTTAAATTATTTATAGAGTGATTTTGTTCGCAACACAAATCTAAGTTTTTAAAAAACCTTTCCGCAGTTAAATTAGAGAAAGCTAAAGGGAGTATAAAAATCGGAGTTTCATATAAAATTATTTAGATCCCATTGCATTGGGAAAGTAATACCCCAATGCAATGACACAAAATACTTAGGAATGCACCTCGAACGAAGGTTTACTTGGAAAATCATATAGAAACCTAATTAAAACTCAAGCAACAAAAACTAAACTGGCTGATAAACAGAAATTCTAATCTGAATGTTACCCATAAAGTGCAACTTTACAATACAATGTTAAATCCCATATAGACCTACGGAATTGAACTCTGGAGCTCTGTTTATCCATCAAACATTGAAAAACTCCAAAGACCTTAATTAAAAATCCTCAGACAAATAGTCGGTGGCCTCTGGTATATAAAAAACGCGAGTATTCATAGAGATCTTCGAATTAATACAATCACAGATAAAATTGAGAGCAACATACAAAAGTTCAAAATCAAACTCAATCTTATCCAAAGCACTGGAAGCCGGCTATTCATGAAGAATGCCCGACATGGAAACGAAATTGAACGAAGCTTTGTCGAAGGACAATTAACTACATATTTTTTCTCTTCTAATACAGCAATTAGCAACGATAATTTATTGTTAGTTCTAAGTTGATTTTTAGAAGATTCCATAAAAAACAAAATAAAATCACAAAAGAAAATAAATTTACCCGATGCCAATGAACTTAAAGATTCAGCAATGCTGCCACTTCCTTCAAATGTGAAATTTCGCAAGTCATCGAATGGCGGTGCATTTGGATCCTTATCGAAACGTTTCTTGCGTTCCTCCATTAAGAATTCAACATTCAATTCTTGTCCGGGTAGTAGAGTCATAACAGGATCTGAAAAAAAAAATTCAAACAAAAAAATAATATTTAAATAACAAAATAAGCAAATATAAAATGATTTAAGTAATATCAGTCGAATGCAGTCTAAAAAAATATCTAGAAAATAATAACATATATTCAGAAGAAAAATTAAAATTTTGTTTCAAATCCGGCAATATAATACGTGATAACATATTTTTTTTTTTCGATTTTGTTGTTCTATTATGAAAAATTATTATAGAAAGACTTCATGAGGACATGGGGTATTCGGTACCATATTCCAAACCCCAAGCACGGAGTTTTTTGACTGTGTACTCACATATTATTGGCATCTTGCATGCAGCGATGTCAGGTGGTATGGTGCCTGCAGCGCTGATAGGAATTTGCAGTGGTGTTATGTCGAAAGCTGTCATATCATCCTCGCCGCCACCTTCATCATCATAGCTTATGACAGTTTCGCGTACATCCTTTTCAGGGCCAGCACGTTTCTTCTTTGTTGTCTTACGTTTGCGATTGTATATCACAAAAATTAGCGCAAGAACTGGAAAGACAAAATGAGCTCGGTTAAAATAGACAATTTTAAAGTAGAAAATTCAACCAAATTTGATTATTTTAATTTTTCAGCACTTCCAGAGTATAGTTTTAAATAAAAGTATGTAGTTTTATAAAAACTACAAAACTTTTGTCACTAATATATTTTTTTATTTACAACTAAAAATATGTATACATATGAGTAACCATGAAATTCATGAGTGACTTTCTGTCTTATTCCTCATAAAATTGCATTTCAAATATCTAATTAGTTAAATAATTTTGGTTCCAGAACTATAGTCATTTGTATAGGCCGTGTGCGAGTTCGAGGAAATTGAGGTAAAGTGAATTGAATTTTTTGATATGTTATTTATGTTATTATTTATTTATTTATTGCACTTATTTATTATTTTTGGTTGAAAATTTTCGAATTTATTTAACATCTTATAAAATTTTCACAATGGTAACACCTAATTTACTAAATTTTTATCTAATTTACCCTACTCGAAATTCTGGTAAATACCAACAAAATAATTTACTATTTTTTCAATTTACCATCAATTTACTCGAACTCGCACACGTTCATGGTTGTTAATTTAGCATAAAAAGTGTTACAGAAATAATTAATTAAGTGATTTTTTGATTTTCAACATAATTTTTATGAAATAAGAATTTAATTTAATTAAGTTTAATTTAATTTTTAATTTATTCTTTTAAATTCTTCTACTGCTTATGTTTATTGGAGTTGATCATGCCATAATAACATTTCTCTAAATCAAATTAGCTCATAAGCATATTGCCGTTGATTCGAATTTGGAGAGAAAGTGTGTGGTGACACAATTCAATACAGTGGCGTCGTTAGGCGTCAGCGATGTCGGCGCCCGCAGGGTCCTCGCAAAAACTGACCGATTGTGGATTCTAAGCACATAATAAATTTATTGAACAATTTGGTTTGATAATGGCATTAACCATATTCGAAGTATTCACGAATGTTTATATAGTAATCAGATTCATGTTCACAGTTCCAGTCAGTACAGTTTTGACGGAAAGAAAGAAACAAAGTTAAAGTAGATTAAAACGTACTATAAAAATATGATGATCCAAGAGAGACTATTTCCATTGGAAATTCTATAAACTGAAGCAAAAATAGCAGCTGGCGCAAATTATGATATAATTTAAAAAAAAATTGAGTGAGGCTAATAGCAGGAAAATTCATTTATTTTAATTTTTGTTTATTTTAATTTGATTAGCAATATAACTTTCAATCATGCTTTGTCATATTAGTGAAAGTTACTTATTTACTTTTACAACTGGGTTATAAAGGGGGCCTGGCAATTCTGATGTCTCCGACGTGCAGAGTTGGTCTAGCTTCGCCACTGTTCCAATATATAAGTTGTATACTTATAATACTAGAAAAATGTTAAGATAAATTGGCGCTATATATTTGGTACGTCACTTCTACTTTTATTTTGTCACAAAGGTTGAGTTTGTTGAATGACTTTAAAATATTCTAAAAGTAGCAGAATATAAATCAAAAATCATAATGGACAAAAAGATTTCAAATTGAAATTTATTGGGACTAAAAATCCTTTGGGGCTAAGCCAGAATCGGGGCTGTGCCAAATTCCACAGTTATGGTTACGAATCACTGGCAAGTAGGTGGCTATATCAAAAAAAATTGTATATGTATTTTAACTAGTAATAAAAAGCTTAGCGCACATTCCCAAATATAGATCTTCAGGAACTGAAATTCTTTAACGCAAGTAAGTTTCGATATATAGACATCAAATCTAGTTGTGTGGAAAGACTATGAAGCTCTGTTGCCTTCAAAATTAACAAATTCTTACATACAGAATTTGATTCTAATAATGAAATATCTAAATGTAGCATTTATGTTATATTTACAGCTAAATGTTTTGTAGTTTAGTTTGTAAAAAGTCTTAGAAAGTAGCCGCATAAGCCTGCTTTAGGTCATTTCGAGTATTTGCCTTGTTTTTGTCAATAGTTATGTGCATAAATGCAGACTACAGGGTTTTATTGCAAAAACACCAATTCAAAGTACAAGAAGTTATTAAGTTTTAATTAAAGAAGTAAAGCGAAGATAAAACTTATTTATAAAAAGGTTAAAGTCTCTCGGAGCCCACAGCTAAATTGCTAAATACCCGAGGGCTAAGTAAGTCGAATGCCAACTCAATGTGTCCTGTAATTTGCTTGTTTGCTGGTAATGACTATAAAAACGCGCATAAAACTTATTAAAAACTTTTTAACTACTCAACCAGAAATAAAACACAACTTGAAAAATATAACTTAAATAAACATTTAAGTTTAGTATTTTATTTTAGATTTTCCATTTTTTCTCTATTTATGGTATTGTGGTAGCCGTTTCCGAAGGGTCCTACTATGTTAGCGCAGGTCTTTCCTTATTTTTTTATTGTCATTGAAATTATAATAGTTTAACCAAATGGAAATGACGTCTTTTCTTAGCTGCTCAAGAATTTTTTAATATATTTTATTTTTTTTAAATGTTATTTTTTCCTACTAACATTCTTATTAATTTTTTCTTTTCTCATATATATATATATTTTTTGGGTAATTTAAGGTTGCTGCACAGCTTTCCCATTTGCTCATTTTGAATTCTTAAATTTACCTCAAATAATAAATAAATAAAAAAAAAAGAATCCAATAAGAGCAATAACCATAAGTCCTAGTACACTTTTAAAAATAAAATTAAGAAACTTCAATTCATGGTTGCATTCGATGATGCCAAATATTGAGCACAGGTGCATTTCGGAGTTTTTTCATTGAAGTTTGCAGTCGCGTGCAAAGTTTTACAAACTTTACTCACAAAAACAATATGAAGATGAATAACAGGAAATATAGTTCTAAGTAAGAAAGAGTTCAGAAAACAAAGCATTATTCTTTATATACACAGCAAAAAGAGTACTGGATTTATCATTCTTGAAAGCAATAAAAATAAACTAATTGTATTGACAGCATGGCAAGCAAAAAGTGTTACTAAATAGTGAGAGGATGTACTTACTGCAGCTCAACAAGGTTCTGTGAATCTTGCTTAGGTTATCAAAGCGACCAAGCTATTGCTGTAGAGGAGAGTGAATCTAGCAGTATTCTCGAATCATACTTCTATAAAATCTTCTTATTATCAGACATCAACTGAGCTCTTATAACAGTGGATCATCTATTGAAACACTAGCTTGCGTTTGATCAAACAAATAAGAAGATAGAGTAAATGCAAGAGTCAAATGCATATATGTATATGTATATGTTGGTCCTTTTTTCGAGTCAGCGCAACTGGGCACTTTTACTCTTTGATAGCTGGGGATACTACAGCGTCCCACCCAACTCATTGACTAATTTATGTATTGCGTATAAGCTTCATGATTATTCAGTGATTGATCTAAGATCTGCGTATCTCCCCGTGCGGAGAGTGATTACTTTAAGATTAGATAGTGGTAGGATAACCTATTAATTTTCGCATATAACTTCAAAGCTCTGACCTTGTCCATTAATAACTACTTTCGAGAGAAAAATTTTACGGACATTTGTTGGTCCCATTTGTAAAAAAACGCTGTGTTGGAGATATATCAATATCAGATATTGTCATATAAGTAAAGCTCAATAAATGCTGATAAAAACATGTGGTATTTATAATTGAGAAAAATGCTAATGAAGGGAAGTAAAATTACGCTGCAACCAACTGGTAAGTAGGTCATTCAGTTTTTGTGAGAGTCCATCACATACAATATCTTCATTACTGATTTTATGCGGATTATTACTTAGACCATTCTCACACTATGCACCGGTCTAGAAGAATATTAGGAAAATACTAAGACTACTAGGAGAATGCAGACGACCAACTGGATGACATTTACTTGAAATTAAGTTCAGATGAGAAACTTGTTGAAGCAGACCAAGAATAAACATTGGTTCTAGTTCCGATGATAATAATGGTGAACTCAATATTTGAACTCAAAATAATCTCTAGTCGCACGGGGCGGTGCGCAGATCTTAAGTCAGTCATCGAATAATCACAAAGTTATTAAGGAATACATAAATTAGTCGGTGAGAAGGATGAGACCCTGCAGAAACCCTTAAACTATCAAAGAGTAAAAGTAGCCAGATGCGCTAACTCGAAAAAGACTCAACATGAGTACGAACTTACATAATTAATTAAATAAAAAAACTAGCAGTAATAAGTGTTACTTGTCATACAAAATCTATACAAAAATACTAGGGAAAAATTAAAAACTACTGTGTTTAAAAATTCTTTGAGAGTTTACAGAAATTGTAAATTGATTATTTCCAAAAAAAAAAGAAGATATTCTAACGACTCCTTTGATTGAACTGTGAAAAATGAAATATCTTGTAGTTAAGATGTAATAAAGGTTTAATGAATACAATATCGTAGACCAAAACAAAACAATTTTTTTAAAAAATATATGAATATAAGAAATATATGAAATATTTCAATATTAATTTATAATATTTTTAAAAATTCACTTACTTCAAAAAATTGAAGAAACTCGACAAGGAAACATAATTTTTTAAATTTTTTATCAGTTCCTTCATGGAATATATAACTTTTCATAAACTTGAAAAAATTTTCAACTATATTTAATTCAATATGTATAGAGTTATATACGTTTTAGTGAGTGTTCATTTTGAAACATTATTAAAATAATTATTAAAATAAAACAGCCTCCCAAAAATGTTGTATGTTAGAGTTACTTCCACAGTTTCTTTAGGCAGTCATCATTTGAAGGAATCATTTGATATTGATGAATGCTATCAACATCCATCCATTTCTATTAGATTAGATCCATATATTTTTTGCAGAGTTGTATGCGACTGTATATTGTATGTAGATTTCTAGAAAAAATTGAGTAAGAATACGTACTAAGTATTCTTGGGGAGTTTATTGTACCTATTATGTATTACGTGTTTTCGAAATTTCTACATATTAACCATATTAACATGTTATGATATTAGCGAT